AAGGCGAAGTATTTTATGATATTATTGTTTCCACTTCACTTACGCCGAGCGAACATTACCCTGAAAATTGTTGAAAAGATACTTTGGTAAGAACATTATTATACTCTAAAGTATCTTTTGAAAATTCAAATATTTTGCAGTGTACACAGCATGTTAAACAGAGTAAAATCCTTCCGTCAATGGTGTTCCGAACTCTTCCTATTGCAAAAAACACAGTTGTTCTTCAATCGAAAATCTTTTTTTACTTTCGCATAATAATTCACCCTCATAGTTTACATTTCAGCTACTTCATGCTTATCAAAACAAATTAATTCTAAAGATAGCAATTCAGAAGTAGCTGAATAGACTAACAAGCTCTCTCCAACCCAGAGAATTCCACGTATATACTTACAGTGTGTTAGTGAATTCTATTGAAAACTATGTAATGTACTTTATTTATACGCAAGTAACCACATTTCAATGACCTATAACCTTTTTAATCAAGATTAAAAAACCTTGTCAAGAAATCATCCGTTAATCTTTTAAATCTTTAGCGCATTGTTGTACTCCTCGTCCCATCAATGATTGAAAATTCATTGCTATCTAAGTATATTAAACACTTATTTAAATGGATGTTGATGGACAGACAACAAATACTACGTAGCTGTCATACGAACATTCCACTGCCAAACATATCACGATTGTCTACTTAGGAGTATCATATTTCCCTGATCTTATTCTTTGTCTGGTCGTCATATGATTTCCTGACAGTTGATATTCATGTATCATTCCTCGTCATCGGTTATACGTCCCCACGGAGCACGGAACCTACCCTAAGGAGTGACTAAAATATAGTCAACTACGCTGCAAGCGTTCATCGACGTAATTAACCTATTGTTTCTCGAAATAAATCACTATTTTAGTTTGTCCTGTGAATAATAGAGAAGCTTATTTAAATAATGTAATAGCTAATAAACTGACGTTTACGCAAATTGTCTTTCACTTCAATTTGCAATGTTTGTTTTAATTTTAGCTTAACCATAAAAGAGAAAGGAATATGGAATGATTGTTTCAATAAACTTAGGATAATAGAAAGGAAAGTGTGAATATATGTAAAACAATTTACGTTTAACACTTTGAATTGTATGAAAATTTGTATGGCACTGTATGTTTATTTATCACTTTTAATATTTGTAACTGAAATTTATATTTTATCAAACTTCAAACCGATATAAATGGTGGCCAACGAAATGTAAATGTAAATCCAAAACATGCATTTTTTACGAGGCCTACATGCATGCTTAATTATTAAGAAGGCCTAATTTTGGTCCCTTTCCCTTTCCACCCTTTTCTTAAGAGGAAAGGATATGGAGGAAAAGTGCATTTGATGGTGGAGGAGACGCATAGGAAGGGGAAATGTCCTCTTTATGTGCGTCTCCTACTCCGTCGATTAAGGGTAGGCAACGCCTCTGCAATTGCGGATGTTTATAGGCAGCGGTCGCTTTCCATTTCAGTGGATTCAGGTGGCCGCTTGTTCATTTGCCAACCTTATAGTAAAAAAAAAAAGAAATCAACCTCAAAACAATAAGAAACTGTACACCTACTTGATGTAAGTAAATATCAAAGCTTAATTTCTTATAGTTGAAAATGAAAAATTAAAAATATTAAAAATTGTCGCAAGTCATGTTCCGATGAGAAAGTTGAGAATCGAAACATTAAAACGTAAGTGTTACATGCATTTGTATAGAATAACTCACGTAACTATGATATTACAAACCTTATACTAAGGAGCGAAGTATTTGTTTATACGTTGCTTGATATTTACATAATTCTATTGGATAATGTAACTAAGTTTCTATTAACTTTCCAATACATCGAATTTTCAATGAAGTTGACGTATTTATCTAAAACCGATTAAATGTATCTACCGATGTCATGCGGACATTATCAATTCAACGCTGATAGATGTTGCAAGACCTTCGGGTTACTGACGTCTAATTATGCACACGGTTTTAAAATCAAAATGTTCAATAGAAAGGAACAGCTTGATTAAAATACTTAATTAAAAAGCCCAGGTCTTAAATCTGTACACACCAATTCGTTAAAATTCCCCGTTTTGTTTTTAAAACAAATTGAAGTCAAAGTTAACGCTAAGTTAACACCAGAACAAATGTCAACCGGCTTACGCTAACAAAGCCACCGAGCACAAAACGCGCAATCCGCGAGCGCGTTAACGCGGGTTGGCGCAGTGCCAAGACAAAACAACAAACTCGCACAAACGCCGCTGAAAAAGCTCCGCTGAAACATCAGTTGGCATGCCAGTTTCACACGCGGAACAGCAGAAAGATGTACAATAAATTCGTATCGTTTGTGATTCCAAATTGAGTTTATTCGATCCAGAATATTGCGCTATAGAAATGTAATTGATTTTGTTGACATTTTTTGCTGGACTTCTGCTATTTTGTGAAACACACTTACTGTTAAAACAATACTGCTCTGCATTGTGTGCTCTGACTCTCTGTTCTACCCTCATGTAAAACTTCCGTTTTAACGAACGTCATCGAGGCTTTGATGTAATTTAAAAAAGAAAAAACTCAATAACACTTTGTTTTCTAGTTCTATGTAAAATCCTATGGGTTTATTCTTGCCACGTATTAGACCATAAGTAACTAATGATAGATAATTATCAGATTTTTTTTGGATAGAAATGTAGATGTCGCCAATGGAATGAAATTATAGCATAAAGAAACCCGCTACATACGGTCAATTCTACCTGAAGAGTCATTTTAAAACAAAACCTTAATAAAAAAAAAACCTTTACAAATCTAATATCCTTATATAATTATTTTAAAAAAGAACGATGCTTTCAGCACGATAATTAGAATCTTACCGCTAACTCCTAATAAAGCCAACGTTCCAGATATAACAGACAGCTGTCAATACCACTCGGCCTGATCGCAACGTTCAAAAAGTGAAAGTTGGTCAAATGATCTTTTAGAACAAGTTCCGTTTACGGCCCTGCTTCGGAAATTGCCCGACGCAAGCCTCGTTAACAATGGCGATGATAAATCGATTTAAAAATTCCACAATTCTCTCATTGTTATTTTGAATAATAATTTCTAAGCTAATTGAAAATAAAAATAGTTACGTGTAATGGAATTTGTCACTTTTGTGACAATGTTAACAAATTACTTTCCTTTGATATTTTTTCGACCGCGGATTTAACGTGTTTATAGACATTAAACAACAACTTCTGAACAAATATAATGTTATTACAAACCGAATAATATTTGCCCGATAAGACCCGATATCAATTATTAATCGAATCTCATATACAATAGAAAGTAAATTAACAAAGACGTCTGTTTATCTTGTTCAATAAGCAAACGACACAGATCTATTATGTTCAGTCTATTCAATCCTCAGACAGTTGTTAATAACTTCGCCTTTTTAGGCCTTTCAACTTTTGACTTGCCATTTATCAATACTTATTTGGATTAGAAATAAAACATAATTAAACGTAATTAGTTATTTGATATCATAAATAAATCTTAATGATTTAAATAATACCAGTAACAAAGCAAGCTTACCTCTTAATTGAAACTTTTTAAAGGATTTCTCGCCATTTACTAAAATAATTATATTATACATATCTTCTTTACTTACTTGCCATACAGTTTTATTGTATCCCAAATTCAAATCAAACGAAGCATACTTTCTCCAACATAGTAAATTAATAGTATAAGTAGCCAGTATTAATAAAATGAAAAATTTGTAGGCCTCTTTAACACGCGTAAGCAAAGATTAGAGAGACATGATTGAAGTGTTAAGGTTATTTAATCTATGGTTGTTTTACTGAAATAGGCACAAAATGTTATAAATCATACGATAAGTCTGGCCTCTGACAAAATTTATCAAAAAGACGAATTGAAAAGATAAGTAGAAAGTTCGATGATGCCGATGATGGCCATTGTAAAGACTGTCAATTATTTTCTTTGTTGGTTTTTGTAGTCACGAGGTAAAATTGAGGTCGAAACCATAAGAAATGCGAGTATCTCTTGAAAAAAAAAATGTTTCTAGTTTTTTTACGAACTTAGTTACCCAGATGAATAGGTAACAAAAACGTTTTTGACATCTTTTGTGTTTTAAAGCTCTGTGGAATACATTTTTCAAATGTAATGTTAACCTATTTCAAGTGATTTTTACTACAACAAACTTAAAAATGTCGAATTTACGTTATTCAAACTGCCCGTGATTATGATTTGGGTTTTGAATAAAACAATCAAATCGAATTGTCATATGTTTTATATTTTCAGTACATATTCTTTTACATATATTATAATATTATAATTTACACATAATTAAATTATAATTGTAAAACTAGTTTGTATTGTAAAACAATTATATACAACAAAAAACTAAATCTAAATAATAATTACATTTTACACGTATTAGAGCGGACACACACCTTTGACGAAACTATCGCACGACAGTTGTGCGATTGTCGTTTCGCAGCCAATTTAAGTAGTGTGACAAATTAGTGTAGTGTGCGCACCTCCATTTATGCCCATAGGAATCAAAGCGAGACTAAACAGTTGTGCGATAGTTAAGTCAAAGATGTGCGCACGCTCTAAGGTCAAATGGCTCTTTCTTCAACTATAAGCCTGTACATTATCACATACCCATGAAGGTTTTAATGTAATATGACTTATAAACTATTTATGATTCTTTAAACGGATACTGTTCCACTATAATAGATATAGCATTTTCTAGAGTACAAACTTTTTAATATTTATAAAGTAATTTATTAGATTACAAGAAACATTTTAGATTAATGATTTAAAAAACTTTACATTGATACGAAAACTTAACTAAAAAAAACATTGTTATGATCACAATCAAATAATAAAATAAATTTTATCCCTTAATAAATATTGCCCCTGTAAAATAAACTTGTACACGTTACTCAAACATTTTTAATTGCAAACAATTGATAATTGTTTGCAATTGTTAAAAACTTTCAAAATATATCAAAAACACTGGTAACTAAATTAACTAGCTTTATTACACTTCAAGTTTAAATTAAAAAATATTCAGGACCTACATAGGAACCGCACTTAGGGAAATCAGGAGGTGCTTGAACGAAGTCACTTTCCTCACCAACCTTTAGCACAAAATCGAGGCCTCTCGTCCAATGTGCTGATCTTTCGTCCCTCATCATCCAATACCCGGGGTTATCAGCCTCGAATCGTAAAGCCACGACACCGAATTTCGGTATAACAATCGTATCTTTGATTACAGGATCGATTAAGTTTCTTGTAGCAAATAATGTTCCTTGCTCGTGCATTTCTTTGATTTTATTTTTATCAACACTAGTATTAAACTCGCGTATACCGACTACGTAGAAATTGTAGCCGTGAAGATGGAATATATGATCTGATTCTCCACCTGCAAGAACGAAAATAAATCAGTAACGGTTTGATAAAATTTTTAAAGCTTTTCTGTATTTTTAACTATTTATGTTGTAAAGATTGTTATATACAATAATATATTAAATATTAAAAGCTAAATTTCATCGATTTCAGTTAAGCCGTTTTTGTCGTTATACATTACTACGTACTTTGTTACTACTCGTATAAATATCCATACATCCTTTCGCGTTTGTAATATTAGTAAGAAGTTAGACAATATTGTATAATAAATATAATATTTTGTCATTAAGACTATTAGGTAACTAATTTCACTAAGTTCTCATGACGCCCAACAAATTAAACAAAGGGTCTATTCCGATTCTCGCGTAATGTAACACAATTATTGCGACAGTCCAACCCATACGTAATTCTAAGTGACGAAACCTGTTATTCTGTACATAATATTGTTTATGTAATAGACGTATTAATTTACGTTTCCCTGTTCTCTGACGTGTAGTATGAAGTAGGTATAAACTATAAATTTTTATTTAAAGGATTTTATTAATATAACTACTGTATCACATCAACTAACCTACATATACTTTCGCTCGTACAACCTTTATTATCGTACAAAAGTATGCAAAAGAAACGACTTCATAACAAATAAACTCATAAACCCAACAATACCTTTGCCGGACCGAATATAATTTAAATGTTTACTTTTAATCCATTATCGCAACAATCCGTAATATATGGTACAACGGAATGTACTCAAATTTAATATGCAATGCTCACATTGTGCTAATTAGCAAATGTTTGTCCGCACGGCAATGTACCTTAAAACTTAAATAATATAGTGCGTATGTTTTGTAGGTGTTGGTTTTCACAAGGGATAAGTCAACTTATACTAATGAGGGACAATCTCTATCTATACTATTATACTAAAGCGTAAACACACACTTCTTTGTTGCCTAAGATGTCTAACAGCATATTTTTTTTTAATTCTTTTTTTAATAAAAAGCCCTACACTTGCGTCACGCTTTAGGCTATATATTTTAACACCATTAAACTTACGGGGTAATTATTTTGGATAAAAACCCCAATATGGGAAAGAGACAATAAGTTGGTGTCAACGTCAAATAAGCAAGGTTTTCACCATGTCATGTCATTTTGACATATGTAAATGATCATTTAGCAAATGTAAACCATTAAATAAAATTTTCATAATTTTAAGCGGATGAAGTCGCACGGGAACAACTAGTGAAATAAACTACATTAAGATCAAGCAGCTCCAGATCACATTAACCGTGAATTAAGTAAAATTACTGATTTTCTACTAAATCACAGGAGAAACTGAATCGTTATTGACGGCAAAATCGTATTCGATCGTACTTTGTTCCGATCGGATTAGTGCTGAAGAGTAATCGTTTTCTAAATTACTTAAGTTTTCTCAGTTGGTACGTGCTTATTTGAGATTCCCGGCTTTAACGATTATCTTTTCGCATTGAAATGATCAAATTACTATTTAAGTTGTGTCTGCACTTGTTTTAAAACACTTAGAATAAGCAATGACGAAACTAAAAGCTACTTAGCTTTTAAAGCCTTTACGCTATCTTTAAGTAAATTTTAAGGTAGGAAAGTGGAATTAAATTTTATAAAATTTCTCTGAGAATTCGATTTCTACAAACTTGTATTATTAAATCAATATTTCTCGTGTAATTCCACTCTTGCAATGATATGTTAAAGCGGCTTTCTACAGGGAATATTCGTGCGATTTGAAATTGGCCTCTGGGGAAATTGTGCAATAACATTTTACAGTCCGTGCGCGTAATGTTTTAAAATTGTTTTGAAACTTAAAATTAGTAGAAACGATTTTCGATTATTATTTACATTAAAGCTATTTTAAAATACTCCTTTTTTGCATATTAGCTGTGTTCATTTAGAAACACTTCTTACGCTTACACTTCTTACTACTTTTTTTTCTAAACTTTTTCATCTCTATTCATTATGGCAAACAAAAGGATTTTCCAATGACTTACATATGTTTAAATTTTAAAGTAGGTGTGTTATTATTACCTAGAAATAAATACAGCGCACTATCTGCATTCATCCGCGCAATAAATACTTATGTCGCAACCGGAGATGTCATCACGAGAAAGTTAACATTCAAGTACTTAAGACCCAGGTCACTGTGAAACACCTATAACGAGCCTGCCAAAGGTCGTATGATAATTATGCCTACATATAGTAAATACGTACCTCAGTATCAATTCAACGATGTTATTTCTCAGTCACGTCCCTTCCATACAAACTTTAGATTGCAATTTCGTGAGTGGATTTTAAATCTTTTATTTCCTAATCCGGAAGAAGCTTTCCGTTTAAAGTTTTGAAGTGATTCCAATTGACCTTTACCTTTATCCTATACGTAATATTACTTTTCACTTAATTAAATTTTATAAGTGTTTATATTTACAGTTGCACAAAGACGTGGTAATTTTTTTTAGTGATTACTTAGGATTCTAATCTGTGTTTTTTAAAAAGACTTACCATAGTAATAAATGGTGTATCATCAAATTTGTTTTTAAATAAAATCCATCGCACCAGATATTACGATGCCAAATGTGATAATTTCACGGTTACGCTCAACTTTAATATTTATTTATTCAACTTTTTTTAACAAATAGAAGAGTGAATAGAGATTGAAATTGAATATTATCTACCAACTCTCACTTCCATATAATGAACGTATTGGCGACGTCGCGGTATTGTGTGAAGCCAGTCTCATATTACCGAAAGAATATCTTAGTACTCGGTCCACTGCTATTGTGTATGATTATATTTTTGTGAATAATTTTAATTTTAATTTAAACTGTAGCATAAAAAAGAACTGTATTTTAATTAAAATATAATAAAAAATAATGTAGTAAATAATATGTGTTATTAGTAATTTTATACACCACTTAAAAATAAACGAAGCACAGCTTATTAATTCAGTAAATTTTTATGACTTTTAAAAAGTTAATAATGTTAAAAGTTCGTTAATGTTTTCTTTTTTAATTTACTATTTACTGTTCCGGTTAAACAAAGTGTTAAAGTATACTAGAAATCTGAGAACTGGCCAAAAACATTTTAACAGTAAATAAAATATCTTAAATTACGTAATTAGCATCAGCTTGTCTTTCGCATTGCTATTGTAAAATATACTCGCGGACAACGGATATTTACAACACACGCCGGGCAACATTTGCCAATAGGCTTAGTTACACAATTCCCGATGAGAATATTGACACCAGACATCTTCCGTCAGACAAAGTGCTAGGGAAACAAATGTTGTAGAACTTTCAACAGAAAGCTGTCTATGTCTTTTATCTGTAAAACAAACAGCCCGTTTGCTGCACTCTATTCAAATACAGTTGTACAAATGTCTTATGATTTACAATATCAATATTATGGTAGATAAAATTACAAGTATTATCGCTAATCGTTTTTGCAAATGTAGGAAGAAAGATAAGGTACATTTGTTGTTAATAATCAATATTATGAATTACTATTAAAACTTTTGTTTATAAATCCACTAGCTTTTACTCGCGACTTCGTCTGCGTGGTATTAAACAAGTAAGTAGCCTATGTGTTCTTTCAGACTATCCTCCATGTCTTAGTCAAATTTCGTCAAGATACGTTCAGCAGTTTAAGCTACAAACTCTAACAAACATTCATCTAAACTTTCGCATTTATAATATTAGTAAGATATAAATAGCGAAGTTGTCGTTTGAAAATCACAACAACAACCAACATATCTCAAAGACGCTTCAAGCTGTGTTAAGCAAACTTATTTAGGATGCATAAACACCTTGACTACCTCACAAGACAGTCTAAATCTTCATACGAGCTCTCCGCTAAGTGCACAATCTACATAAAGTGTTCTCCAGAAAGTGAACACACATAAATTAGCAGCCACTTACGTAACCATCCCTTGAAGTCGCTTCAAATTTACTATGTATTTCTTAACATATCCTTATATTATTCTAAATGAAATAAATTTGAATTTTGAAGTAGTTGTCACGCTCATAACTTACATCTATACTTCTATACTATTATAATAAAGCGTAAAAACACACTTCTTTGTTGCCTAAAATGTCAGCAATTACAGCATATTTTTGAATAATTCTTTTTTTAACAAAAAGCCCTACACTTACGTCACGCTTTAGGCCATATTTTTCACTCCATTAAACTGGGGTGAATATTTTGAATAAAAGCCCTAATGTGGAAAAGAGACCACAAGTTGCTGCCAACATCAAGGAAGCAAGATTGCCAAGGTTTGTCGTGTCGTGTCATTTTGACATTTGCTATTGATAATTTGACAAATGTAAACAATAAAATAAAATTATCATAATTTCATGCGGATAAAGCCGCACGGGAACAGCTAGTTGTTTTATACAACAAAGGTTATTTATAAATGGAGATAATAATCAAAAAGTTAAATAGTAGGTTATTCCGTTTCTTTCTATTCGAACATACGGCCCGGAATTATTAACATTTGCTTAGTACTATCATTAACAGCTTAATTAATGCATTACGATGACTGTTCCGTGATATTTGCAAGGAGAAAGTTCATAATCAAAGGATACCCATACGAAATATGCAAAAGGAATTCTACCTCTAAAATTGTAAATAATTTAACTATTATAGAATCTTCATGCATTATTCATAAGGTCATTTAATTCATTACATTTTGATTATACGTAACATTCCATGACCTTATAAATAATTCATAAGTTGACCATTCTAGAACTCTCGTAATGTTTTACATTGTTGTTTTTAACCTTGTAACATCAAAACTTTTATAGCTAAATATTTTATCACATTGTGAAAAAGTTGGTTCGCAAAGTTTAACTTTATTATCAAACCTGAATTAAAAAATGTATTTTTAAAGTAAACTTAGTAAGTGCTTTCCAATTAGGCTCGATTTTTAGTATCAAGCAGCTTATTTAGTTTATTTAAAACTATCTTTCGTCTGCGACTCCTTCCGCGAATTAAAAGAAAAAACAAAAGTAGCCTATGTATTCTCCCAGACTATTACTCTACATCTATGCCAAATTTTGTCAAGATCCGTTCAGCCGTTTAGGCTACAAACGCTAATAAATATCCATTCATCCATCCATCTAAACTTTTGCATTTGTAATATTAGTAGAAAGTTAACACTGGTCTAGATTAATTTATCGTTAACATTTGACATTTCTTACCTTGATCAAACATAACCAACTCGACAGTAGACCTCAAGGGGATTTTCTTAACGTGAACACATTCGTCTTCGTTGGAGCCTCGAGCGCAGATCGCTTCGGGGGCCACATCATTACCCTGCGTCAGCAAGGGTGATGCAGGGTACGTGAAACGGAAACCATCGGTCTGACCCCAGCTCTCTGCAACAAAATATGTTATATTGTGTTAATGACATCTGAGAAGTTAAGTAAACCGGTTATGAAATATGATCAAAGAGGTTACAATACTAAACTACGTACAGGAGTACAGTTGCGCTATATGTCACCGATAAATTGGTTATTTTAGTCATTATTAATCGGTTAAGACGTAATATAATCTGACTGTAACTACTTACAATTAATAGTTGACATATATAAAGTAACATTAAAACAGTACACGTATTACATATCTAATAACGCTTCAAAATCGCTAAAATGTAACTTTAAAAAAGTATTGAAATCAAATTAACAGTTAGTGCATGCTTGGTAGTTTTGTGAGGTGCCATCTTCATTCATTCAAGTGTTTATTACGCAATTAAGTACAAATCGTTAATATTCATGACTTGCGATCCGTTGCTTTGAATAAAACGCATACGTACATTGGGAATGAGGTCGGCATTGGCTAACGCATCGGATAACAAGAAGTTACATTCATTTAAATACTCTAACCTAGCGTCGAAATTAAAACTAAAGTGTTTAATTTAAGTGACGTGTGTAATCCTGAATCACCTGTGATAAATATTGTTGTCGCCGTTTTTTGAAAGAAAACAAAAGGGATAGCTATAGTTGTTGATGTCTTTAGTTGATGTGTTTCATGGTTAGAAGGTTTGTAAATATCTTCTTTCTTACAGGACGATAAAACGTAATTACTTTTAAAGCATGTTCATTAACAATTATAATTTCAGGCGAAACGCGTAATGAGTGTCTACGTTCCAAGTATACGTTCCAGCAAGTTTAGTTAGGATTAAAAAAAGAAGTAAATAGAAATCTCTCTGGTGGAAGTAATATTTCGGGACAAACTCCTAACTAATATAAATTCACTTTTGCAAAATGTTTTAGATGCTGCGTAAACAAAATATGAAAATGTCGAAATAAAAAATGCTATGAAAAAGTTAGATTCGATTTACATCGCGTCACTAATAACTACTTTTGACATATAAAACTTCAATAACAGAGAGCCGGGAAATAGATTTTCCGTGGCAATATCCAATTTAAACTTCTAATGCAAAGTTGTGGAACTAAATTGCGTTGGTATTTCATGTCGACTGGATTATGAAGCTCTCTCAATAATCTTGGTCTATCACTTCAATTCATTATTTATTCACTTATTTAGTTCTTCATTTGTTTCTTTCTTTACTATTTCTTTAATTAAATTGGACTTAACCAAAGTTCAATACTATTTTACAATTTGTATTTGTTAAAAAAAAAAACAAACAAGAATTACTTTACATTTAAATTCAAGTTTCATGCAAATATTTTTAGCGGTTTCGATTACATTATACATAGTAACAGGTCTAACTTCTTGTTTCTTAGTGACATAAGCATATTAATGTTATACCAATTTTGTAATTCAGGCTAGAAAAGTGTGCTAGTATGCCCATCTATATCCACAAAGTTTGTTAGTCTATATCGATCAACAGATGGCGTTTAAGAATAGGACGCACCTAAATAAACACTGGCCACCGACAATCCACCAAGGCAAGACAAATTAAAAAAATAATAAAAAATAAAAGATTATTTTTAGGCGTAAAACAACAAAATGCAAAATGTGATAAGAAGGAAGTAACAACGTAAATGTAAGCTCTTGTTATAAATTGTATATATTGTATATAAGTATGAATAAAAAAGTTATAAAACAAGATGTTACTAGTTTATATTTATTCAAAGTTGAGTGAATAATTATGAAATAATTTAATCAAATACTTAAATACAAAGTTTCACGACAGAGAACAGCACTATTAATTACTATGCATATACAGCGAAGGCGTGTTATTAGTATAGAATTAACAATGATAATAAAGAGGTATGTAAAGAAGCTAGTCTGTGATCATTGGGAGCGTACGACGCCTCCATACTTTCTCCTAATGAAAGGGCACGAACCTTGGAATAAGACGAACGATCTATTCCAACCTGAAAGTCGGAGACAAAAATAAAATGAATATTAGAAGTGTGTAGGCAAAGCTTAATGGAATCATCTCTTGTTAAACGTTTTTTTTTTTAATTTGTTGACTAATATAACGTAAACGTTTGTATATAAGGTTCATATATATGGTATTTGGCATAACATTGAGTTAAAAAATCATCACTATCGACCAATAAAATTTCTACTACTGTACTGAATCTCTAGCCTAGAACCAATAGTTTTCAGACTATACAACGCATTGATTACCTAGCTGTACTCATATAAATTAAGTGAATGATAAATCTATCATTACGTTCGCAACGTAATTACGACAGTTGTTAATAAGCGGGGTAAATAGAGCTGAGTTGATTGCAGAGACAAGCACGGTGGTCTACAATCTGTTGACGTCATTAACGGTTGCAATTCACGCGATTATCTATAAACGCTATTACTACACTTTCCTAGCGTTCTCTTAAAGCACCGTGAAATCAAATGTAAAGTACTCTTATAAGAGAACTGATGGGGCATTGTCTGTCAATTTCTCACGTAATTTACGTTCGTACTATAGTGAACGATCGTGATTTAAATGCCACCGACTTTTTAGTGGATCTGAAGGGTTATTCTTTCCTGGTTCACGAACAGATCTACACACTTCCAAAACATTTTTAATCTTTAAATAGATTGTCTTATATGAAATTTAATTTTGATAATTAATTATCAGTATTGAATTAGAAAATATGGCTGAAACTTACACTTGTTACCGATAAGGTAATAAGACACACATAATTTACGTTATATAAAAAAAAGTGATTCATACTGCGCGGTGCATGAGATGAAAAAGTACAGTTACAAAATAATCGTGACCTACTTGACATACCTAGTTTGGTTATGTAAGCGTAATGTTTGTACAGTTAGCGAAACCCACCGTGCAACCAAAGGGAAAATGTTACGAGACCAATTATCAGAAATAAAAATAGTTATAAAATAATAGGAATAATGTATAAACTTACAAGCAACAAGCTACTCTCTATAAATCAATTTATTGTTAATGTCAACTTAACTTTACCTTATTATATTAGACGCTGACTGTACCTACATGCACACGTACGTTTACGTACTTCGTTATTTGGAATTTTTTGCAATAATTGCAAACAATTTGGACACAACTTACATAATTATTTTCAAAGAAGTATGTTGACATAATGTTCTTATTTTTTCAAATCTTTCATATATCGGATTTCCGAGACATTTAAAAATTATTATCTTTAAAAAGTTCAAAACCCAGGCCATAGAAAGGCAAACGTAGCAAACGCTATTAGTAGCTCTATTGAAAACTCTGTTTATGGGCGACTCATCACGACATTTAAATTCAACTTTAATAGTAAGATTTTTATTATGATTATACTTACATAATTCATCAGCCGAATCGATGAAAACATAAAAACGTTATTACGTTTTATCTCACAAGGGACAGAAAAATCAAGATAAATGTACGAAACAAAACATTCTATACACCTGTATTCAATGTAAGCAATTTCATTCCCTTTATGGGAAAACTGGGTGAAAACAAGCAAACATTTCCAATATTTTTTCCCAAATAATGGAAGTAGGTAAAAATTGTTTGATTGGGGGAGACAAAGTCGTTTTACTTAACAGTCGTAAATTTATTACCACTCACAAAATAATATGAAATAACAATGAACTCGCGCGAAATGGTCGCGTTACTCTCTAACCACAATCTTTTATTACGAGTGATTGTTTCTTATGATAATATAATATTAATAATAATTATAGACGCATCGTTCTCAATTTTTATAATATAAGGTTGGCAAACGAGCAAGCGGCTACCTGAATCCACCGAAATGAAAAGCGACCGCTGCCCATAAACATCCGCAATTGCAGATGCGTTGCCTACCCTTAATTGACAGAGGAGGAGACGCACATAAAGATGGCATTTCCTCTTACTATGCGTCTCCTCCACCGTCAAATGCACTTTTCCTCCTTATCCTTCCCTCTAAAGAAAAGGGTGGCAAGGAAAAGAAACTATAATTGGGCCTCCATATTCTAGATTCACTGTTCTCAAAAGTTTTTCGCCATATACTTGAAAGGCGAAGTAAGATTTTCTCAACTCAGTGTAATAAAGTGTCATTGACATGAACACTACAACAAAACAATTTTAATGTCTATAAAAACTTAGAGATGATTTACCTGAAATAGCTCATTAGGATAATATGATCGTCAGAGATTATTTTTGTTAGACATTTGTAACAATGACATTTATTTTTAATACGTTACTATTTCTATGTATATCAACGCTTTTACCTATTTCCTTTAGGTCTTAGTTTAAAGCGATTCAAAGTCAATTGCTAATACAATTTTTTATCAACATACACTCGTTATTCTGACTATTTAAATACCATTTATGAGTAATCTTCTCTAATGAGACATACGTCAATAAAAATGTTTGTATTGCTTCAACTTACCGACTCGTTTAGCTGATATTTGTCTTGTGGAATAGTTGAAAGGCACATAAATAACTTCATCTATGGTTGCTGCGAGCTTGGCCGGAAAATTGTCCGCAGAGTGTATTTCATTCAGACACAACACTTTGTCACTAGCACACTTGTCACTATTCACTGTAGTTACTTCACGAGTCACTGGAAGATTAACGTTTTCAGTTGTTTTCTGAATTTTACTATCCAAAGTCTTATAGACTAACTCTGCTACACCTTCTAAATCCTCCTGACATGACTTCTCAGCTACTACTCTTATTTTGTATACTCCGCTAGCTTTATTTGCGTCTAGAACGAAATCTACTCTCTCTCCTCTAGCAAATGTTATAGCGTCAACATCCTCAGGCTGAATACCAGAACCATCCAAAGCAATCACTTTAAGGACATGCTCGTCAACAGAAAATTTAATTGGACAACTTTTAGATCCACCTCCATACATAAGACGGAATCTATATCTCTTTCCATTTTCAACAGTAAATGTTGATATTGGAGCATTCGAAAATTCGGATGATCTACCCTTTCCGTTAATTAGTAATGACTCTGCGTTCGGTGCGTTGGGTGTCACTCCAGCTAACGGTCCCATAGAATGGCCCCATTCAGCTACGAAGATCGTATGCTCAGTAGCATCTACGTCATACAGTTTCCTTAACGGATCTAGTCGAGGCGATTGACGTACTATAAACGCACCAGCGAGTCCGTCTGCAGCATCTGCTGCGGAATGTGCATGGTACATGTGCGTCCCTACAGCTGATGCTCGGAATTTATACTGGAATGTTGTATAAGCAGGCTGCGGGCATTGAGTCAACATTGGCACACCATCCATGAAAGGAGTTTCCCGTTGTGGTTGTCCCCGCCAGTGGATAGATAGAGCGTGGGCTGGAGCTCGATGCACTACATCTACAACAAGGATATCGTTCTGGCAGACGTGGAAGGATGGTGCAGGCAGTTCTCTGTTAGCAGCCAATACGCCGCGTTCTCGACCATCGGCTGTTATGCACATCGGTGGACAGTCTGCACCATGTGCTTCGGCGCAATTGTTACAAGATCTGTAAATAATCAATAATTATTAAATAATTCTAATTTATAAATAGGTCAAATGATAGTAAAGATTTATAGTGTGTTAAAAACTAATTTCTAGTTCTTACTTGCTGTATGTTTTATAGACTTCTATGACTAGTTTCACACGACAAATCATCGGCCAATCCAATTCATGGCATTCACGATCACAGTTTTCAAAATACTCCTCTGCAAAAACATAGTTAATATGAATTAGAGTATTATCAACATTACTTGAATTAAATAAATTATTATAGTATAAATGAATAAAAAAAGGAATTCAAGTAACCAGTTTTACGATTAAAAACAGATGAATAAAAACAGGAAAGGAGTATTTATAAAATTTTCATACCTGGCATCGGTGTGTAATAAACAACAACAATTACACCGGCCAATATAACAAACAACACGAGTATCCTCTGCAAGGACATCAGCATGTAGTTAGGCTTCACGAACACATCGCGTGGGTCGACGCTTTCCTTCTCCATCTTTGATAATAAACCTTAACTTATTTCGCTCACTAGTTGAGTAAGTACGGCCGCGCAATATCTTACGACATTTTTGAATTGCACACCGATTCCTTTACAAGATAATGACGTCAGAGCGTGACGAGCCGACCACGCGAGCCGACCATTGAGTGGCGACTGGTTGCGGCTTGGACTTGCAACCCGATCCACTATCTGTTTACGTTGCAACATCGAGGTGCAACGGCGCCTGAGGCTAGTCTTTTAACGTCGCTACTCGCTGCATTAAGAGGGCTCCAATTCGGAAGTAAATTGGCGAGCCCCGCGCCGCACGAACTCTCTCCACATCGTGACGTAACTTATTGTGCAACTGCAATTAAAAGACAAGTACAGATGGAAATTGTAGTTGACTTGATTGATTTCATAACTGTCATTAGTTTGATTGATCGATTTTACATTATTCATAGTTATCTAGAATACCGTGTACAGTAATTTTTAAATTAATACACAACTAAACAGTATAGACAATATACATTCCTTTGTTTATTCTCACATTCATTACAAACAGATTTTTTTTAAAGTTCAAGTTTAGTTACACAACATGAAGATTTTATCTTCAAATCTCTCCTCATTCGTAAAACAAACCGCAAATATATTTCTACACAAACGAGTCCAGCCGGCGACCCGGCCTTGACGCTATCGACATTAGTAACGCCGTACTCTGAATAATTTGCATGTTTTTGCAATTTACGAGCGTCGCTGTGCCGAAACCGTAAACATACACGAATACAAAAATATTTTTTTACCCCTCCCTACCTTTCATTTTGATTTGTGTTTTTTTTTATCTGTATCTTGAGCCAAGGATCATGGTGCTTAGATACCATTGATCTTTGCTAGCCACTAAAAATAATTGATACGTTAATTAAATAAATTCTATAAAACCATAAGAAAAAATTGTAATATAGCCTATGCTACTCAGTGATAACATAGCTTTTAAATGGTGCAGGAATTATTGAAATCATCCCAGTCTTTTATGAATTATTTCAATACATACAAATATTACTATAGAAAAATAAGGGCTGCCATACACGGACTGCAGATATGCCATGCCCAGGCGGGTTTTAGACACGTAGAAACTTTAGTCCACGTATGCGTATAAAAGGAGTCAGTTGCAAAGCAGAAAACAAATTTTATTTTTTATGAGCAATATTTTAAATGCCGTCGCCAAATATTCAATTTGTCCGATTTAATTTAATTAGGAATTATCTAATACTATCAGCACGCATATGAAAATTTCAGTAGCTTTAAATTTAATCAAAAATCAAGCATGTTTCCTTAATTCACAAAAATTGTTTTTCTTTACCTATTACTGAAACGATTTAATTACTTATTAAAAGAAATTTAATATTACATAACAATCATAAATGTATGTCATTGATTACACTTTCAAATTATAATACACCAAATTCAATACCAAGACGAAGAAACAAAAGATTACATAGGGAACCAGGCAAATCAAAGTAGCATGCAGCAGGATTTGAATTCGTAACACAAATTATTTAATGCGGATGTGGATAATTTCGTAGGCGTCGACATTTAGAAGCAATACTAATGGCTGTCCCCATCCCCCTTCTTATCCATGATGGTAACATTATATGTTTCCAACGAGATTATAAGGTGTATTTTTTAGATATCAATTACAAACCTACAAACCTATTTTGAAATGCATAGAAATAAAACACAAAAGTTTTTTTTTTACCTTTGCAACGATGACCAAACATGCATCATAGATAAATCATAGACAAAAAAGATCTTTCAAACAAAAAATGTTGGTGACAGTGACATTTGACAATTTTTCATTGTTTTGAATTTTGAAATAGTTAAATTTAAATATCTAAAAGGTTGATTATTTCTAATTTAACTAGTAATAAATATAGATCAAACTGTTATATAATGGAGATAACAAGAAAGAACTTTGCTGAGGAATTAGAAAACATAACCAATAATTTGAAACGTTCATGTTTTATTGGATTCGATGCTGAATTTACTGCTTTACTATCAGGAGAATGTTTTCAGCACAGGTGAGAAGACTTAAGAACTTCTAGCAACTCGTCCTTGTTAAATTATTTTATAGTTTTTCATTACCTCAAAAAATACGACAAACTATATTATATTTTAAGTGTAACTCTTACCTACAATATTTCAAACACATTTTTTAGTTTATCACAATTTTAATACCATTATAAGCTAGTTTTATTTATGAATTTATTACTGATTACAGATTATTTGACACAAATGAAGAAAGGTATAATAAAATCAAAGATGAAGTTAGTAACATGATTATTTCACAAGTGGGTCTCACAATGTTCCAGTACGACAGAGACGAAGATGGATATAATGCTATTGGGTATACATTTCACTTGTGTCCTCAAGTGTTGGGAGATATTGACCAATCATTCATATTTCAAGCTTCAACATTAAAGTTTTTGTGTAAACATAATTTTAATTTTAATAAGGTAAGAATTAAATACTTGAATTTCACTTTTGGACACACAAATTTATAGTTAAAATATGTTGGATCACAATTTCATCTGAAGTGCAGTTTACTTAAGAGATACCTTTAGGCACCTTTCCTCCATCTACAGTAGGCCCAACTGACATCTAGGTGGATGTCCTATTGCAGCTAAATATAGTGCTATAAACTTTAAAGTCTCACTACTCTAAAAACATAAGTCACATATAGAATAAAATGTTTTTACCATTTCACATCTTTGCTTCCAAACTCTTTTTTCAATTTTGACACTTGTGTTTTCTGATAATTCCAGTTCATCTATGAGGGTATACCTTATCTATCAAAAGTAGAAGAAGATGAAATTCTTGAACAAATCAAAAACAATAACTTAGCAAGCTATCTAACAAGTGCATTACAAATTGAAGAAGAAAAGGAAATACAATATTACGGCAATAAAGTCAGTGAGTAAGTCAAAATCATCATTCTAATAAATTACAATAATTATTAATAACTAACTATCGCTTGCGAATCCGTCCACTTGGAATAACAAAATAAAAGCAAGTAGCCTAGGTGTTCTTCCAGACTATTCTCTATATCTATGCCAATTTTAATCAAGTTCCATACAGCAGTTTAGACTACAAACTCTAACAAACATCCATCCATCCATCTCAACTTTAGCATAATATTAGTAAGATAAATACCATGACTTAATATTGTACAAAAATTTAAATTATAGGAACACATTTTATTTAATGTTAACTTTATTCCCCATGTTGCAAATATATCTTAAATCAACTTGTACCGAGAAAAGGGTTGCATCTTCAAAGACATATTACTTTTTTTCACTGGAAGGTGGCTCAAAATGTTGTTGTTTTATCAGATGGTTGCACACCAGCGAAGAAGGAACAATTTATATAGATGTACATAACCCCATTCAGAGGTACCTCATACATATTGAACTCCGGCAAAGGTTTCCACATGTTCTTACAACAGATAGCTTAGGTAATAGCAATAAGGTAATTTGGTAGATTGAAAACATTTTATTAATAACAAAAAAAAATAAAAGAGTATGTATTCATGTATGATGTATTCATATGATAATATTTCATTCTTTACTAAAAATAAAGTTTAAAAAAAAGTGTACTAAATTGTGAAAGGAAAAATCGTAATTGCTTGCCGTTTTTAACTACAAACAAATGGACAAGTAATACAAACTTTAGATAAACTATAGTAATAATACAACAGTTTTTTGGTATGTTGATTTTTTTTTGGTGTTAAATATAACATTTTATTTTCAGATCTTAGTATATCGAGATAAGAGTATAGAAGGGGCTAACAACGCAACACAGGAAATGTTAGAAAAGAATTTATTAGAAAAATTATTAGGTTTTTCAAACATAATAAAATTGTTAGTACAATACAAGAAACCAATAATTGGGCATAATTTGTTTATGGATTTAATACTTTTACATAATCAATTCATAGGACCATTGCCTAAAAAATATTCCATATTTAAAAAGAATATAAACAATATGTTTCCAGAAGTATTTGATACTAAATATATTTCACATGAAATGGGCAAGAAATTAACGCTGGATGAAGTATGGCAGTCAAATATATTACAAGAGTAAGTTT